AAAAAACAAAACAGTAAAACTTTCTATCCACTCATTTTCCCAGACTAACCTACATATTGGAGTTCATCTTCCCTAAGCCACCTTTTAGCGAAATCATGCAAAATCAACTAGTGGGAAAAATATGAGCTTTCTTCCTTGTAAACCCCATGAAGGTATTCTCAGGCTTAAGCTCTAAATGAAGTCTCTTCTGGAAGTAAAGCAAGGTTTATTCCAGTTCCTCCATGATCCAAGAGAGAGGAAAAGAAATGAGAAGGGCATCCCTCTCTCCATCATAGCCACAAACAGGGCCCTTGACACCAGCCCTTAGTTGCCCTCAGGGAACCCAGCTGACCTACCAAAACACTGGCTATACACTATTGGTCAAATGTATGGACACCTGACACTTCCCACGGGGTTCACCCTTTAGTATGGTGTGAACCTAATACTGGTAACATAAATAGAGATGTAGGATGTCCTATTTCCTCAAGGACAGAAGGAGAGAACATGAAGGTTTTGTTGGAGGCTCTGCACAGGTTCTACACTGGACATTCTGGGGTCAGGCCTGGGCCAGACTGGAATGGACAGGTCTTCAAATTAGTGACAAGAGACCTGGGACTAGACTCATGGATTTAAAACTTTGGCCTATAATGAAATGTGTAGGCTCATTATAAAGTGATAGATGGAGGATGAGCCAGTAACAAGGACAAAGATCTCTACCAGAGGTCTCAGCAGGAATTTCTCTCTATGGCAAAAATATATGATTTTTTGATGCCTATGGAAGTTTGAGTTCCAAACTTACTTTTTGCCCTGAGTCTTGGGACAGTTTCAGAATCAACATTAACTGGTTCTTCTTCTTCCAAGTTCATATTCTAGTGCTCGCTTCGGCAGCACATATACCAAGTTCATATTCTAAAATGTGCCCTTGACCAGATAAATTCCAACAGTAAAATCATTTACTATAAATATTGCCTAACAGAAAAAGTAAAGAAGGCAGCTTAGGGCTAGTGGAAGGAATGGGTTCAGTATGTCATGTCAAATATTTTGCTATCTCGGGGCGCCTGGGTGGCTCAGTTGTTAAGCGTCTGCCTTCGGCTCAGGTCATGATCCCAGGGTCCTGGGATCGAGCCCCGCATTGGGCTCCCTGCTCAGCGGGGAGTCTGCTTCTCCCTCTCCCACTCCCCCTGCTTGTGTTCCTGCTCTCGCTATCTGTCAAATAAATAAATAAAATCTTTAAAAAAAAAAAAAGTATTTTGCTATCTCCTTACTGATCTCTTTTGACTCTATTTTCTTTTACAAGAGAATGGCCTATTTAAAACCAGCTTACTTACACCTGTGAGTTCCCACTCCCCCCGCCCCTAGATTTCTCCTCTCATTCTCTACTCATCAGAGTGCCTCTATCCTTTTTGGAGCACTCACATGTTAGGGGTTCAGCTTTGAAAGTAATGTTAAGGGCGCCTGGGTGGCTCAGTTGGTTAAGCGACTGCCTTCGGCTCAGGTCGTGATCCTGGAGTCCCTGGATCGAGTCCCTCATCTCGGCAGGGAGTCTGCTTCTCCCTCTGACCCTCCCCCCTCTCATGTGCTCTCTCTCATTCTCTCTCTCTCAAATAAAGAAAGAAAGAAAGAAAGAAAGTAATGTTAAGAGCTGGCCATAAATAGCTATCGAAACAAAAGGATTAGCCCTCTATTTAAACTTCTCCCCTCTGCCCCCAGCCCCATCTAGTCCTTTGAGGTTAGCCACTCCCCTCACCCCACCATGAACTTAAAATCATGCCAAAAATCTGAGGACTCATAATGGGGAGGCTTTATAATTCTCGCAGGAAGGTTATGAGAGAAAGCAGCAACAATGAAGAATCCCTATGTAAGGTTTACTGGATGGACCGAGCAGGGACTCTACATCTAAATATAGTTTAAAGTGGTTTCAGACTGGCAGTAATCCCAGAACTTGTCCGAAAATGAAATTATGTAATCTCTAGAAAAGAAGGGTACTTTCATACAAGGATATTGGGAAGCCCCAGAATATCTCTTTACAGGGACAAACTGACACACTAAGACAACCAACGAAAAGGAAACAAAGCAAATTGAGTGAGGAATTAAATAAATTTACAAAGAGATTCATAAAATCTTGTTATTGGTATTATCACATGCATATATGAGTCAACTGTGTCTACCATGTTACCACAAGTATTTAAAAAACTGAAATTTAAAAGAATTGCCTGGAAAGGGAATTATGAATAGGAGACAGAGCAGAATAAATTATCCAGAATGCAATACAGACACTGAAAGATGGAAATTACAGAGGAGGATTTAAGACCCATGAAGGACAGAGTAGAAAGACCTACCAACTGGTGTTCACAAAAAGAAAGAATGGGGAAGAGGCAGTATATAAAGGGAAGAAAAATTTGCTGAGCAGAGGAAGACACCACTTCACAGATTCAAGTTGCTCAACATATCCCTAGCAGGAGAAAAATCGAAGAATTTCACACCCCAAAACATGCAAAAACACATTTGGCTACTGAATCCAGTTCCACCCAGGATTCTAAGGGGGAAAAAACTCTAATATCCTAGTCTCTGCACTCCCCCTTTAAAATCCTGCATTTTTCGGTATAACTTGTATTTAAGTATCAAAAAGGCCTTTGCTCTAAAAGAACATTGACCAAAAGATGTGCAATTCTCAGAGAAGGAAATATTAAAGCCAAGAGACACATGAAAAGATTCTCAATCTTATTAACAATAAAAGAAATGCAAATTTAAGCCACACTGAGTCACAATTTCACACTTAGCGGATTGGCAAAATTTGAAAATTTTACAAAATCAAGTACTGGCAGTAATAACTGGCAACCAAAATAATTATAAACCATGGTAGGAGTGCAAATTGGTATAATTTTGGAAAACAATTTGTCATTGTATAATAAAGACATGGATGGGAATATACTTTGCACTGGCAAATCTTTTCTTGTTACCTACTGTAAGCCTTGAGGAGAATCTAGGTGATGCCAGTGTTTTTACAAACTACTCTCGCTACAGGAATTATTAATTTTTTTAACAATTTTTTATTAACATATAATGTATTATTTGTTTCAGGGGTACAGGTCTGTGATTCATCAGTCTTACACAATTCACAGCGCTCACCATAGTACATACCCTTCCCAATGTCCATCACCCAACCACCCCGTCCTTCCCAGCCCCCACCACTCCAGCAACCCTCAGTTTGTTTCCTGAGATTAAGAGTCTCTTATGGTTTGTCTCCCTCTCTGGTTTTGTCTTGTTTCATTTTTCCCTCCCTTCCCCTATGATCTTCTGTCTTATTTCTCAAAATCCTCATATCAGTGAGATCATATGATACTTATCTTTCTCTGATTGACTTATTTCGCTTAGCATAATACTCTCTAGTTCCATCCATGTCGTTGCAAATGGCAATTTGATTTTTTGATGGCTGCATAATATTCCATTGCGTGTGTGTGTGTGTGTGTGTGTGTCTACCACATCTTCTTTATCCATTCATCTGTCGATGGACATCTAGGCTCTTTCCATAGTTTGGCTAGTGTGGACACTGCTGCTCTAAACATTGGGGTTTATGTGCCCTTTCGGATCCCTACGTTTCTATCTTTGGGGTAAATACCCAGTAGTGCAATTGCTGGGTCGTAGGGTAGCTCTATTTTCAATTTTTTGAGATACCTCCATACTGTTTTCCAGAGTGGCTGCACCAGCTTGCATTCCCACCAACAGATGCTACAGGAATTAAATACCACAGCCTTAAGATATATACCAAGGTGGAAGCATTGTCTAATGAATCTTATGCACCTAAGTGCTTGACATATACAAGAAAACTCATAGTCACATTATAATTTAAAAATAAGCATAATTAAAATGAAATGAACAGGGACGCCTGGGAAGCTCAGTGGGTTAAGCATGTCCTTTCCGCTCAGGTCAAGATCCCAGGGTCCTTGCTCAGCGGGAAGCCTGCTTCTCCCTCTGCCTGCGGCTCCCCCCTGCTTGTGCTCTCTAACAAATAAAATCCAGAAATAAAAAATAAAATGAATAATTATAAGTAATATTAAATTAAAAAAAAAGTAAAGGAAACAACCCACATATACAGCCGCAGTAGAGTGCTTTCGCCTACGTACATCTACGTCCAGCGGGCGTTTGGGTGAGGGTTGGGGGGCAAGGACAGCGCTTCTGGGGAAAGAAGTGGGTCAGGCTCTACGGGTTACAGGAGTGAAGGCCTTTTTCCTTAAAGCGCGCACCTGAGGCCGCCGTTTGTGAGTCCTTCGTTGACCTGTACACACGACAGCGGCAGTCAGAGTCAGAGCCCTGACGCGACCGCACCAATTCCCGAGGTGTCTATCCGCCCACAACGGGCATTTTAGGAACCACAATCCTGGACAAGCGGGCGCCAAACACTCAAGGCCCACACGAGCTGGCTAGAGCGCTGATAAAGACGCCAGCTCTCCGCCGGCACCAGCACGGACGGCCCACGTCCCGGCAGGAGGGCGGACGCGCGAGCGGACCCGCGAGCCGGAAAAGCTTTCGCGGCCGCATCATTTCCTGGGAAGTGTAGTTTCTTGCTTCGGACGCCATTGTACTTAAGAAGCACACAGAGGGCGGTTCCGTTGTCCTTTCGACACTTCGCGTGCGCGTCCTAACTGAGCAGCTCTGCGATGAAGGCTGCAGACGGTGGCGTTCCTCAGGGAGCTCAGCCGTTTTTTCTCGCCAGGCGCTCAAAGAGCGCGCGAACGCGCAGCCTTCTGGGAAGTGTGGTTTTACGCGGCGACGTGCGAGGCACGGGTAACTGGTCGCTGACGCGAAGGAAGCTGGGAAATGCTGTTCCGGTGTGCGCTCTCTCCTCCGTCCGCCTCGGGGAAATCTCAAGCAGGCGGCGGAATTGTCCTGGTGTAGGGCAGTTCTTTCGACGGCGGCGGCCGTGGTCCGCTCTCCGCGAGTCAAGTGCTCGGAGGTGCGGCCTCTGGATTCCCGGGCTCCGGCTTCAGGGCCAGGGAGGGCCCGCCGGGACTCAGGCAAGTGTGGGTCCCGGCAGGGTGGCCGGGCGCCGGGCACGGCCGCCACAGCCTCGCTGGTGCCGAGTCTACACCGCGGTGTGAGCCCCGGCAGGGCCTTAGCTTCCTGGGCCTGTCTGCTCTGTAAAAAGGGTGTCGTTTACCTCATTGAGTTGTTGGGAGAAGGAAATGGGCGAGTGATTGTGCAGCGTACGCCCTGAGAGAAAACGCCATCCGCAGTGGTTTTTAGGCAATCCAGTCGTGAAAGTGACGCTTTCCATTTGTGCAGCCTTCAACAAGTTGGCTCAGTATCGCTGAATCTCATCGTTTAGAAAAGAAATGTGGAATAATGTGAATGTCAGTCATGCATAGTTGTGAAGATTGAATGAGCTCTTAACGTTATTACTGTTGTTTTGTGAGTCTGTCTCAAAAATACGTAGTAGTTGGTTTACAAGCCTCTGGCACCTGGTGAATGGTTACCTCGTGCCAAGGAACAGTCTGCTAGTTTAGGGAGAGAATGGAGCCCTAGAAAGTGATTCCCAGTGTTTACTTGTGGATGTGTCACAGCGCTGCAAGAAGCCTCATTTTTTATGGCTCCTTTTTTTTGTGTTCTTGATCTGCCTTCTCAGGACACTCCTACTCTTTAAGACAGGAGGCTGGAAAGAGGACTGTGTTGACAAGTCATGTTCCCGGTAAGTCGGTAATCTCCCCAGATCTTCCTGAACCACCTTAGCAGAACTCTTGAGTGTTTGCTTTGCTTCTCCTACCAGTTCCTGCCTAACAAAGTCCTTTTAGGGACCGGATCTATGATTCATTTCACTGTAGCAAAGGATGGAGCCCACAGAAGAACTCCAAAGTACTATCTTCTCTCAGTGCTCCTCTTCTCTACCATTTTTCTGCTTGAGTCGTGAGCAAAACTTTTTTTTTTAATTACAATTCAAAATTCAAGTTTGGGATTTTGGGTTATTTGCTTTATGGTTGTCAGAGTACTATTATGTGGTCTCGGTTAATGATATATCAGTCCTTTTAGTTGTTCAAGTCGAGAGATGTTTGGAGTCATCTTTGATTCTTTCCTTTCTCTTATAACTTACATTCAGACCCTCTAGTTGGATCTAAAATACATACATACATATCCACAGAATCTGACCAATGGTTACACCATCACAACCACCACCACCACCCACTGCCACCAGCCTGTCATTGCTCACCTTAAAAATCTTCAGTGGCCCTAACTCACATGTCAGAGTTCTACAGTGACTTAAAAAGCTTTGTGCAGGGCGCCTGGGTGGCTCAGTCGGTTAAGCGACTGCCTTCGGCTCAGGTCATGATCCTGGAGTCCCTGGATCGAGTCCCGCATCGGGCTCCCGGCTCGGCGGGGAGTCTGCTTCTCCCTCTGACCCTCCTCCCTCTCATGCTCTTTGTCTCTCATTCTCTCTCTCAAATAAATAAATAAATAAAATCTTTAAAAAAAATAAAAAGCTTTGTGCAGGGCGCCTGGGTGGCTCAGTTGGTTAAGCGACTGCCTTCGGCTCAGGTCATGATCCTGGAGTCCCTGGATCGAGTCCCGCATCGGGCTCCCTGCTCGGCGGGGAGTCTGCTTCTCCCTCTGACCCTATCCCCTCTCATGCTGTTTCTCCCTCTCTCTCTCTCTCTCTCAAATAAATAAATAAAATCTTTAAAAAAAAAAAAAAGCTTTGTGCAATTAGGCTTTTACCTCTCTGATCTCATCTTACTTCTGTCTCCTTGTTTCTTGTGAGCTCTAGCCACTGGCTACTGCTTCCAGGCCTTGGAAATTGCTGTACCATCTGCTTGGAATCTTCTTTCCCCAGAAATGTACAGACTTGCATTCTTACCTCCTTCATATCTCTGCTCAGTGATTACTTTCTCAGTAAAGCTTCCCTGAACACCTGCAGTCAACTTTTCTAACAGTCACTTCTTCTCCTCACTGCTTGGTTGTTTTCCATAGTGATTATCGCTCACTAGATAATACATTATTTGTTTACTAAATGCATAGGCTTATTGTTTGTCTCATTTCTCTGGGAGGGATTTTTTTCCCTTCTTTGTTGATTGTTTTCAGTACCTAGAGTGGTATCTGGTACAAAACAGAGGCTTAGTAAATAGTTGTTGAGTGAATAAACTTTAAAAAATGGTAGGGTAGAATCATGGGGTGGAAGGTGAAGCCTGCATGGAAGTTATTAGTGGCATATGTGATGTTGGGCAGAGTCTGGTTTCTTGGGAATATTAGATAACTAAAATAGAAAAACTTTTTTTTTTAAAAGATTTTATTTATTTATTTGACAGAGAGAGAGAGAGTATAAGCAGAGGGAGAGGGAGAAGCAGGCTCCACACTGAGCAGGGAGCCCCACGCAGGGCTGGATCCCAGGATCTGGGATCACGACCTGAGCCTAAGGCAGATGCTTAACCGACTGAGCCACCAGGTGCCCCGAAAAACTATTTTTTTTAAAGTAAAAGCTAAAGTAAACTAGTTGCCAATCATTCATTGATTAATTTTTTAAAAAGATTTATTATTTAATTTAGAGAGAGCAAGCGGGTGAGCAAGAGTCAGGGAGGGGGGGGAGAGAGAATCTCCAGCAGACTTCCCGCCGAGCATGGAGCCTGACTTGGGGCTGAATCCCAGGACTCTGAGATCATGATCTGAGCCAAAATCAGGAGTGATGCTTAACCGACTGGTTTGGATTAACGTGGGTTTGAGTGTACACTGACATGTAGGACTTTGTGATCTAGTGCAATACTAAGAGAACTTTCCACAGTGGTGGAAATGTTCTTTATGTGTGCTGTCCAATATGGTAGCCACCAACCCTATATGACTATTGAGTACTTGAACTATGACTAAAGTGACCCAGGAACTGAACTTTAAATTTTATTTAATTTTTAATTTTTATTAATTTAGGGTGCCTGGGTGGCTCAGTCGGTTAAGCGTCTGCCTTCAGCTCAGGTCATGATCCTGGAGTCCCAGGATCGAGTCCCGCATCGGGCTCCCTGCTCAGCAGGGAGTCTCCTTCTCCCTCTGCCCTTCACCCCACTTGTGCTCTTTCTAGCTCTCTCTCTCAAATAAATAATAAAATCTTTAAAAAAATTTTTTTATTAATTTAAACTTATATAGCCAAATTTGGCTAGTGGCTGTATTGAGCAGTACAGAGCTGGTAGAAAAGCAAGAAAGCGTAAGAAATTAACATAAGTGCTGGAACAAATATCCTCTAAGTTCTTCTGGGCACAAAGATGAATGAACATCCTAGGCTGCCCAGGCAGTTGAAGGGGGAAGAGAGAGTTGAAGCATCCCTGGGGAAGCAAGGCTGGAACTGGCTTTGGTGGCCCATGGTACCAGGGAGGCAGAGATAGAAGTGAAGTTACACCAAACTGAGGGAGCACCTTGAGCATAGGTAGGTAGGGCTAAGAGAGTCTTTCAGGGAACTGCAAACATTTTCTAAAGTGGTGGTTCTCAAACAGGGATGAATTTGTCCCCCTTAGCCCTACCCATAGGAGGCATTTGATAATGTCTGGAGATATTTTTGGTTGTCACAACCTGAGGGGTGTCGTCATGCACTGAAATAAAGTTCTCAGACACTGATCTGAGCTGCTGTGCAGGACTGCCTCTGCAAGGGAGAGAGCAGCAGCTAAATTCTGCGCATAGCCTTTATTTTATTTTTTATCAGAAAAGCAAGGACAGATGCATCAAAGGGTGGGAAAGGAGTACAAAGGGATGGCAACTATCTTGAAGCCGTAAAGCAGGTTTGCATCCTCCCCTACGCGCCAGCACTCAGGGAGGCAGTCATGGGATAAGGGAGGAGAGAGAGGTTTCTGCCAGCAGTCGCCAGGTGCAGGAAGGGGGACTGAGAGTTATATTCTTCCAAAGCTCTAAACCTATGCCCTGCCCCAGGGGATCATGGGATCCTGTTCATACCAGGCCATTGCGTTCAATAGCCTGAGACCAGGAACGTTGCTGACGTTTCAGCTGCTTCCATAGTCACCCCTTAGGGCTTACAATACACGTTCTAAGAATGACCCAGGGGATCATGGGATCCCGTTCAAAGCAGACTGTTGCGTTCAATAGCCCAAGAACAGGAATGCTGCTGATGCTTCAGCTGCTTCCACAATTACCCCTTAGGGTTTACAATACATTTTCTAAGAATAATTCCAGGGGGGCAGCGGGGAATTGCTACTAGTATCTAATGGGTAGAGGGTAGGGATGCTACTAACTAAATATTCTACAATGTACAGGACAGCTCCCACAACAGTTATCTAGCTTAAAATGTCAATTATGCCAAGGTTGAGAAACTCTGACCTAAATAAAGAACAAAGGGTATCTAGTAATGAGATTATGTGAGTTTTCTTTTTTAGACTTAATATAATGACGTTCATGAATATGTGTTCAAAACTTAAAATATGAAACATCTTTGCATTGGTGGAATAAAACATTATCTTGTGGGGCGCCTGGGTGGCTCAGATGGTTAAGCGTCTGCCTTCGGCTCAGGTCATGATCCCAGGGTCCTGGGATTGAGCCCCACATCGGGCTCCCTGCTCCTTGGAAGCCTGCTTCTCCCTCTGCCTCTCTCTCTCTCTGTCTCTCATGAATAAATAAATAAAATCTTTAAAAAAAAATTATCTTGTGCATTAATTTAGTATTGATTTTTTAAAAGATTTATGTATTTATTTTACAGAGAGAGAGAGTGTGCATGTGTGGGGGGAAGGGGCAAAGGGAGACGGAGGAAGAATCCTAAGCAGACTCCCCGCTAAGCGCAGAGCCTGACATGGGGCTCAGTCTCACCACCCTGTGATCATGACCTGAACCACAATCAAGAGTTGGATGCTTAACTGACTGAGCCACCCAGGCGCCCCTCGTATTGATTTTTAAATTTGGTTTATCAAGTTGGGTTTGTAAAAGCCAATCATTTAAAACCATTGTGGAAAGTAGGAAAAGATGGGAAACTTTTTGATTCATATGATAAAGCTAACCCTAATACCTGGGTAAGAATAAATACAAATGGAAAAAGGCATTTTCCCTGGTGCCAAAAGGGAAAGAGATCCTCCTCTCCTCCCTTTTTTTAGAGTATTTCCTTTGAGAAAAACCTGTAATTGTAAGTCCTTTCCCTCTCCCTTTGAGATGCTTGTGAATCTTTTTCAAAGCTAAATAAGCGCCTGCCCATTTTTCAGGGCAGTCAAGTCTTTCTTAAGGCCTTGCAGCCATCTCTTTGAAATGAAAACCTGAAGGACAATGCACCTCTATCTCCCAGTCTGTGTTAGAGTTTAGCCTAGGCTCCTGGCTCCAAGTTCTAACTATCTGCTTGTCATAAAGATAGGAGAAGTTTTATTTTTCTTGGAGTAAAAGCAATTAACACAGTTGGCCACTCCAGTTACCAGGTGAATTTAGGATGAACTGTATGTTGCAAATGATGCTGCCAAGTCCTCTTACTTGAGGACAAATTATTTCTTTGAAAACATCTGTGTTATAGATTATACATGCCTGGCTTTATAAAAGGGTGAGGTTTCTTTCTGTCCTTGCAGTCTCATTAGTGATTGCCTCTGAAGTGTGTTACAGTCTGCTGTGATGCTTATTCAGTAGTAAAACTGTTCTCTTTTCTACGTTGTGGAGAGGATTTTCTGCTTGGCAGATTTGATTTTTTAACTATTTTCCCAACACCTCACAAAGGTAAATTACCTCTTTAAAACCAAAGACCAGTATCACTAATGAAGATACATGCAAAATATCCAAATAAAATAATAGACTATTGAATCAACCACCCTTGGAATGAAAAATATGTCACAGCCAAACAAGGTCTCTTTCACCATTGAAAGTAATAAGAATGCCATTTTAAATGCATACATTTTTTGCATGTATTATAATTTGACTAACAAACTTACTGAACATTTGAGCTTTTTCTAAAGTTTTGATATTTTAAATAATACCATGAATGAACACTGTTTCCTTAGAATATTTTCCTTGAACTGTGTCCTCTAATTCTTTGCCCTTATTTAAGGTCCAATTCAGGGACTGCCGATGGCATGAAACTATTCTTCAGTCTTCTTGCCCAGGGGTGTCAAATTATTTTAATTATAGATTATCAATACAGGGTTTAATTATATACCATAAATGGGTTTTGTTTGTAAATTAGTTATGTATACGTCTATCTTTCAAGATGTCTTTTTCTGAACTCACTGGATCATTTTTTTGAACCTTAGTGGATCATCGTTTTTTTATTTACCTATCATGTAAACTATAAAAAACACAACTAAGCACTTGACTATATGCTGTCAAATGTTGAATGCAGATTTAAAAAAATTTTAGAATTCTTTTGCCTTTGACAGAATTAACTCTTCTGAAGCAAAGCTCTTATATTAGTCTCTTACCCTTATTGTAAAACAATGCCAAACACATACTTATCCAATTACTACTTAACTTAGATCAGATTCCTGGTCATTGCCACAACTACTGAATCTTGTTCCCTTTCTTCTACAGCCAGGGCAGTTTTACCCCTTAACCAGTGACAGAAGTGGCCTTGTCTGTGACTGAGCCTAAATATGTTTGCTATTTCAGGTGACATTTAGTGATGTGGCCATAGACTTCTCTCATGAAGAGTGGGGATGGCTGGATTCTGCTCAGAGGGATTTATACAAGGATGTGATGGTCCAGAATTATGAGAACCTGGTTTCTCTAGGTAAGCATATCTCCCTCTTCACCCCAAAGAGGGAGATCTTCTGTTACTCAGAATTGCTGGAGATTCTCCTGAGTAAATGGCTGGAATTTTGTTCCATGTTCCCAAGGATGTGTAGAGCTCTATTGTGCCCTTCCTGAAGCTTATTTTCCCATTTCAATGACCATCCTTCAGAACTGCCTTTGGTTCCTTTTATGATGGTGGCCTCTCCTCCATGAGAACCATAGTTTAAACAGGTTTATATTTTTCCTGTAAGCAGGTCTTTCCATACCTAAGCCATATGTGATCAGCTTACTGGAGGATGGGAAAGAACCTTGGATGGTGGAGAAAAAACTGTCAAAAGGTATGTTTCCAGGTAAGTCATGCAGAATCAGGCACAAGAGGTCTTTGTTAAACATGCTTGTAGAAAGGATGGAGGCATTTTAGGATATTTTAGGGATCTTGTCTTCAGAGATCCCAAATGTAACAAATTGAGGGATCCTTAGCTTAGATTTTTTTTTTTCCCCATATTGAACTGATATTTATTTCAGGACATGCCATGTCAAAATAAAACAAAAGAGTCAACCCTCGCCTTTAACAATAATATTGTATTATATAAAAGCACTTTACAACTCCATCCCATCTTTGAGTATAAGTTAGTGGTATGTGGGCTAATGATTATCTGAAACCTTAGCTTAGATTTTAAAACGGCCATTCCTCCATCCCAAATTATCTTTCTGTATTATGCTATCTAATCAAAAGTGAAGATTTTGTGATCATAATAGTTCAAATTGTTGTTTTATTTGAAACAAAATAAAGCAAATTGTTCTCTTTAAGACTGCCTAAGGAAAAATATACCAATCATTTTAGGTGAAGAAAGGCTGTCAGATGGGAAATCCCTTTTCCCCTAAGGCTGAGCTTCAGAGGTCAAATGTGAACATAAGAGTTAGAGGAAGTAAAGAATGTATAAAAAGGTTTCTAGGAACAATATTTTCTATGATTTCACACAGATCTTCAACAAACAAAGCCTAATTCTTTCTGAGTGATAAAGAATATTTTGTTCATTGTTAACTTTTTAATGTACTACTATAAATTGTGCATTTTAAGCATGCTAATCTGACAGCAAATTGAGATTAATTGAAAGTTGGAGAACCAAGGCTGTGAGACAAAATGTGGTCTTCCACATAAATGTAGATATAGAATAGAATGTTGGCTTGGAATCCAGAAGACTTTATGCGTTTTTTTCTGATAATTTCACTTTTAGTCCACATACTGATTGCCTGTTTTTAACTCATTTCCCTTATTACACCCTGTTCCCATCTTTGTGAGCTGTCTCTATTCTCTGCTCCATTTGAACTTTGTTCAGAAATTATTGAATAAATGAGAATTCAGTCATGTGCTTTCTGGGGGTGGAGATGTGCTCTGTTTCTTATCTCTTATTCTTACCATAGAAGTTTCTTTTCAAGAAGTACAGAAAAAGCAGTGTTTTGCTTTCTTGATATATTTCAGATTGGGAATCAAGATGGGGAAACAAGAAATTATTAACGAAGGAGGATATTTATGACGAAGATTCACCCCAAACGGTAATAATAGAAAAAATTATAAAACAAAGTCATGAATTTTCAAATTTTAACAAGGACTGGGAATATATAGAGAAGTTGGAGGGGAAACATGAAAATCAGGTAGAACATTTCAGACCGGTGACCCTCACCTTTAGAGAAAACCCCACTGGGGAAAATGTTTACAAATACAATACATTTAGAAGCATCTTCTATTTAAAGTCTATTCTTTCTGAACCACAGAGAATTTCTGCTGAAGGGAAATCACATAAACATGATATATTTAAGAAGAGCTTACCAAAAAAGTCTTTTATAAAAAATGAGGAGATCAATGGTGGAAAGAAACTTTTGAATTCTAAAGAAAGTGTGGCAGCCTTCAGCCAGAGCAAATCTCTTACCCTTAATCAGACTTACAATAGAGAGAAAGTCTATACATGCAATGAATGTGGGAAAGCCTTTGGCAAACAATCAATCCTTAATCGCCATTGGAGAATTCATACAGGAGAGAAACCATATGAATGTCATGAATGTGGGAAGACTTTTAGCCATGGCTCATCCCTAACTCGACATCAGATAAGTCACAGTGGAGAGAAACCTTACAAATGTATTGAATGTGGGAAGGCCTTTAGCCATGTGTCCTCACTTACTAATCATCAGAGTACTCACACTGGAGAGAAACCATATGAATGTATGAACTGTGGAAAGTCGTTTAGTCGTGTTTCACATCTCATTGAACATCTGAGAATTCACACTCAAGAAAAACTCTATGAGTGTCGAATATGTGAGAAGGCCTTCATTCATAGGTCATCTCTCATTCACCATCAGAAAATTCATACCGGAGAGAAACCTTATGAATGTAGTGAATGTGGAAAAGCCTTTTGCTGTAGCTCACACCTCACTCGACATCAAAGAATTCACACTGTAGAGAAACAATTCGAATGCAACAAATGTCTGAAAGTCTTTAGCAGCTTGTCATTTCTTATTCAGCATCAGAGTATTCATAATGAAGAAAAGCCTTTTGAATGTCAAAAATGCAGGAAATCCTTCAACCAGCCAGAATCACTGAATATGCATTTAAGAAATCACACTAGATTGAAACCTTATGAATGCAGTATATGTGGGAAAGCCTTCAGTCATAGGTCATCCCTGCTTCAACATCACAGAATTCATACTGGAGAGAAGCCCTATGAATGTATTAAATGTGGGAAGACCTTCAGCTGTAGTTCAAACCTTACTGTACATCAGAGAATTCATACTGGAGAAAAGCCATATAAATGTAACGAGTGTGGGAAAGCTTTTAGCAAAGGCTCCAATCTTACTGCCCATCAGAGAATACATAATGGAGAGAAACCCAATAGTGCAATAAGTGTAGAAAAGCCTTTAGGCCATATGAATCATTATACATGTGAAAAATCACACAAGAGAGAAACTGTATGAATAGAATATTTGTCATAATACACTTTAGCCATAGATCTTTCCTGAAAATTTATGCTGGAAAAAAAGTCTTATGAATGTAATAAATATGGGAAGGTCTTTAGCAGTGGTACAAGCCTTACTGTCCATCACAGTTCACACTGTAGAGAGACTATTTATTGCCTTCATACTGCCTATGAAAGCAATAAATGTGGGAAAGCCTTTAGCCAGTATTAATCCCTTAATTCACATAAGTCCACACTGGAGAAAAACCCTATATATGTAACATGGGAAAGACATTAAGCAATATGAATTTCTTATTGAGTACACACGAGAGAGAAGCAATATAAATGTAAAAATTGTGGCAAGTCCTTCAGTTAAGGTGTATTCCTTATTCTATATCCACTCACACTGGAGAGAGCTTATATGAGAAGTGTAGCAAACTGTTCACTGAGAGTTTTTATCTTGCTAGACATCAGAAGATTAACGCTAGAACAGCCTGAAGGATGTAGGAGTTACGTGTAAATCTTTCTTTGCAACGATGCTGTTTGTAAGCAGTTCTACAGAAGAGCAAATGAGTAGATTGTAACTGAATATGCCTTATAGCAGTAGCATGCAATTTTACTCAAGTCCTACATAAAAGTTTCTTTAGCTAATGAGCATGTGAAGATATTTAGTCACCCAGTGGATCCAGAAAATGTTTTAAAGTTAAAAATTAAAGCTGCAAAAGAAGTAAAAGGTGGTGTGAATAAAGTTTTTGGTCTCTAATAAAATCAGTTTGTATATAATGAACTCTTTCACTGTGACACTGATATTTCTTACAAAATTTTCTACTTTCCTCTTGAAGAATTAAGCCTTACTGTAGCCTTTAGTGGGAGACTAGCTGAGCTAGAGAAAAATGGCCTGATCTCTGTGCTAAGAATATCATTATTTTGGTGTCAGTTTCACACATTTTAATTTTTACAAGTACAGGGAGAGCATAACCAAGAAACAACAGAGCAGGCTTAATGGTGGATGTGCTTTGCAATCTGAATCCTAAAGGATGAGCACTAATTACATAGCTGTGTGCGGGCACATACACTCTGCGAGTCCTTCTAGGCAGAGTACAGAAGCGTGTTCTGTCATGTTGGCTGCATCTGGACTCCGTGATCCAGTGTCTAGTCTCAAGTTGCGTGGCACTGAGCTGTTAGGGCCGGCAGCATTACTAGTAACAGCCGCAGTCATTTCTCCATGCTGGCTCGTAGTTACGAGAGCTTACATTGAAATTAATAGTCCAGAGCTGTCCCCATTACTTTTCCTCCAGCCTGCCTACCAGTTTTGAAAACAGTTACTTGTAATATAAGTCTTCTTGAAATACTTAGACAGTTTTCATTTTCTGTACCAAACCCCGACAGATACTCATGGTTTGTAAAGAGCCTGGCTTCAAATAGTCTAAGTTTTAAATAAATTGAATAGTCTGACTGGCCCCATGGTTTCCTATCTTGTGACTAGGCAGGTGATACATGTGAATGATTAGAACTGTCTGAACACTTAGAAGTAAAGCGCACTTATACAGCTTATATTTCAGGTTATATTCTCTATGGCATTTGATGTAAGTAGATTATTTTAAAAAAGAATGTTATATCACTGACATAATTCTGATGTGGAATGAGTGATAGCGTTTCCAACTTTCGACAAAATATTCTGCTCTAGTACATGAACTACCTTAACTGAAAACCAAGAGGTGAAGGCACATTCCATAGCAATTCTCAGTAGAGATAGTGGGTTTGGAATGGTATGGTGAATTTTTAAAAAGAGATTTATCTTTCCTTTGATTTAGTTTTATTTATGAGATTTTGAGATTGTAAAGAACATTGAGGGATCTTTGAGAGACCTAATTAAGGAAGCACAGAATGGTATCAAACAAGGATTAAGAACCGTTGTGATTATGGGTAGACTGGCCACTATATATAGCCAGTTGTAGGATAATGACATGCTTTCTGTTTCTCCCATTCTCTGCTTCCCCTGCTCTCCCAAGCACTGGTACCACAAAGATGAAGTAGTACTTCAATCCCTAGATTTTATTTGCTTTCACTACAATAGTTTTATGTTACCTTGTTATTTTGTTATGAGATGATTCATCCAAATATTCATACTTTGTCAATTAAGAAGCATGAACATACACATGATGACATCTTACAATGATACTGAACTAGGAAAAGAAAGCCAGGGTCAAATATAGTGAATGACTTAAAGCAGTGAGTATATTACCTTATTGGAAGATTGGGCTAAGATCATGATGTTACAGTGTCACTGATGGAGAATCATAGTCATGTCTGTTAACCGTTTCTTGAGCAGATAAATAAGACACACTTTATACCTTTCCAGAGCTCAAAACTGTGTGTGTGTGAAGAGTCATGTTACCTGGATATAAATCCAAGTTGCATGTATACTGTCTTTATATGACTTTGGACAAATTACTTCACCATCTATAAATGGATAGTAACACCTCACAGGATTATTATGAAGATAAATGAGTTAATTGGTGTAAAATGTTTACAGTGCCCGATACCTCAAAAGCATTCAGTGGATATTAGCTATTAATTTCATCATCATTGTTATCTTCACGTGGCTGCTTCATCATTCTGGTCTGTCCTATCTAGTGAGTCTTCCTAATCACCTGTCTCTCTTATCTACTTAATTGTTTCACTTTTTGGAGTTTCTTACAAGACACTCCCATTTCCTTCCAACAAGTCCTCCTTTGGTATTTGAGCCATTTCCCCAAATACTCCAAGGAGACACAAAGAGCACCAGATTGGAGAAGGTAAGACAACCCACCTGGGCTGCAGGAAGGAGGAAGGGTGCCCTAAAGATGTGTTTTGGAGAACAGGCAGAATGAAGGAGGCATCAGGTCGCTCTATGGAGGAGAGGTCAGGCTTCACCCAGTGAGATCAGAAGCCTAGCAACAGCCTTCAGTATCACCTCTCAGCACGAGGTCCTCTGGGCTGAGTGCAGCTGCCCTCACTGCCAGGTTATGACCGTGTTATTGAAGGTCTCCGATGCCTGGAAAGCGAGAGTAGCTTCATTAGTTTGGGGTTAGTCAGATGTGATTAGAACCTATTGTGCAGTCACTGGTACAGATCCTGAAAGAACTGAGGCACTTATCACCGAGCACTTCCCAGGAGTCTTATCTCTGTGCTGGGCATCAAAGGGGAGTCAGACACTTTAAATACGGTTTTAAGGAGTTGTGTTAGGGGGAAAAATTGCCGATGAAGAAGCCGTTGATGAAAGAATGACGAGGCTGTGTGGCTTGAGAGGCACAGAAAGTAAGAGCTCTGGCATGAAAGGTGAATAGGAAGAGAATTATGATGATAAACAATATTGTTAGCAGCTGCAGAGGAGCCTCGTGGCTGGCTGTGCACCTAAACTGTGTAACGTAACGTGAACTTTAAGCCAAGGGTTTTATATGCAGCATTAAAACAAGTGTTTCCAGTTCAACCCAATTCCTGGAGCTGTATCAGCCTATTGAGACTGGCAGTTGCCTTCTGTACAGTCATACTTCAGAGATATTGCAGGTTTGGTTACAGACCACTGTAATAAAGCAAGTTTGGCAATGAAGTGAGTCCAGTGAATTTTTGGGTTATGTTTATACTGTAGCCTATTAAGTATGCAATAGCATTATATTTTCAAAAAGTACATACGTTAATTGAAAAACACTTTATTGCTAAAAAATGCTAAACATCTGAGCTTCAGTAAGTCATAATCTTTTTGCTGGTGGAGGAGGGTGTCGTTTGTCGTTGATGGCTGCTGACTGATCAGGGTGGCAGTTGCCGAAGGTTGGGGTGGCTGTGCTGTGGCAATTTCTTTTTTTTTTTAAAGATTTTTATTTATTTATTTGAGACAGAGAATGAGAGAGAGAGAGCATGAGGGAGGGAGGGGCAGAGGGAGAAGCAGACTCCCTGCTGAGCAGGGAGCCTGATGCGGGACTCGATCCCGGGACTCCAGGATCACGACCTGAGCCGAAGGCAGTCGCTCAACCAACTGAGCCACCCAGGCGCCCGGCTGTGGCAATTTCTTAAAATAAGACAGCAATGAAGTTTGCTGCATCAATTGACTTTTCCTTTCAAGAATGATTTCTCTGTCGTGAAATGCTGTTTGATAGCTCGAACTTTCAAAACTGTGGAGTCAATCTTCCCAAACTTTGTTGCTGCTTTATCAACTAAGTTATGTAATATTCTAAATCCTTTGCTGTCATGTCAACAATCTTCACCATCTTTACCAGGAGTAGAGTCCATTTTAAGAAACCATTTTCTTTGCTCATCCATAAGAAGCAACTCCTCGGGGCGCCTGGGTGGTTCAGTCGTTAAGCGTCTGCCTTCGGCTCAGGTCATGGTCCCGGCGTCCTGGGATCGAGCCCCACATCAGGCTCCCTGCTCCACGGGAAGCCTGCTTCTCTCTCTCCCGCTCCCCCTGCTTGTGTTTCCTCTCTCGCTGTGTCTCTCCCTGTCAAATAAATAAATAAAATCTTAAAAAAAAAAAAAAGCAACTCCTCATCCCTTCAGTTTTATCATGAGATTGCAGCAATTCAGTCACATCCTCAACCTCCACTTCTAATTCTAGTTCACTTGCTATTTCTGCCACATCTGTACTAATTTCCTCCAATCAAGTCTTGAATCCCTCAAAGTCATACACAAGGGTTGGAATTAACTTCTTCCAAACTCCTGTTCATGTTGATAGTGTGACCTCTTTCCATGAATCATGAATCATGAATGGCATCTAGAAGGATGAATTCTGTCCATAAGATTTTTACTTACTTTTCCCAGCTCCATCAGAGGAATCACTATCTATGGCAGCGATAGCCTTACAAAATGTTTTTCTTAAATAATAAGACCTGAAAGGCAAAATTACTCCTTGATTCATGGGCTGCAAAATGGATGTTGTGTTAGCAGGCATGAAAACATTAATCTCATTGTACACGTCTATCAGAGCTCTTGGGTGACCAAGTGCATTGTCAATTAGACCATAATATTTTGAAAAGAATCTTTTTTTCCTGAACGGTCGGTCTTTTTGTTGTTGTTTTTATGTTATGTTAGTCACCATACAGTACATCATTAGTTTTTGATGTAGTGTTCCATGATTCATTGTTTGAGCAGTAGGTCTTAACAGTGGGCCTAAAATATTCAGTAAGCCATGTTGTAAACAGATGTGCTGTCATCCAGGCTTTGTTGTTTCATTTACAGAACACAGGCAGATCAGATTTAGCATAATTCTTAAGGGTCCTGGGATTTTCAGAATGGTAAATGGACGCTAGGTTTCCACTTAAAGTCATCAGCTGTGTTTGCCTCTAAGAAGAGTCAGCTTGTACTTTGAAGCTTTAAGCCAGGCATTGGCTTCTCTCTAGCTATGAAAGTCCTAGATGTTATCTTTTTCCAATGGAAGGTGTTTCATTTACATTGAAAATTTATTTAGCATAGCCACCTTCATTAATTATTTTATCTAGATCTGGATAACTTGCTTCAGCTTCTACATCAGCACTGCTTCACCTTGTACTTTTATGTTCTAGGGATGGCTTCTTAAACTGCATGAATCAACCTCTGCTAGCTTCCAGCGTCTCTCCTGCAGCTTTCTCACCTCTCTCAGCCTACCTAGAATTGAAGAGTTAGGGCCTCGCTGTGGATTGGGCTTTGGTTTATGGGAATGTTGTGGCTGGTGTTCACACATTTGTGTGTTCACTGGAGTAGCACTTTTCATTTTCTTCAAGAACTTTTCCTTTGCCTTCACAACTTGGCTGTTTGGTGCAAGAGGCCTAGCTT